GGGGGGGGGGGGGGGAAGTGGGGGGTGCCGAAAACGGCGGCATTGAAGTTGTCTGGTCGAGAGCTCTCTCCCAAAAACGTGCACTTCGATTTTCGGCATCCTCTTCGTCGTATAGCAGAAATCGAGCCTTGAACATCGGTCCAGGCTGTGTGGTATCTGGTGTCGTGTATCCACGCTACCGCGCCGAGACGGTGGAGAAAAAAAAAAAGGAATGGATGAAAATGCTCGGGAAACCGTGGAAATACAGGTATCCCTTTCTCTGACGCTATGAATTCATTTGCTAGTCTGCCGTATATGACACCGGATAACACACCCCCTTGATCGATTTCGAAGCTCGATTTCTCAACTGCCGGAACAGTCACAGCGCCGAAAACGGCGGCGTTGAAACCGTCTCGTCGAGAGCTTTTCGAAAATGTATCGTTTCGTTTATCCTCTTCGTCGTGGAGTAATCGAGCGTTGAAAATCGGTCCACGGTGTGTGTTAACTTGTGTCGTATACGGTATATCTTTCGAAAAATGTGCCATTTCGGTTATGCATCCTCTTCGTCGTGGAGTAATCGAGCTTTGATGATCGGTCCAGGGGGTGTGTTATCTTGTGTCATATACGGTGGACATGGATTCGTTGGGTCACACTTAAAAAAAAAAGGAAAATGCAACAAAATCATAAACGGTGTGTGCGTACATTTGTTTCTTACTTGATGGCACCAGGCAGTCGAATGTGATCTATGTATGCATAATTCGTGACAACCAAACTTCGGCTTCTGTACGGTCGACGAGGGAAATGGCAAAGGGATGGCCGAACCCTTCTCGCGATAAAAACCAAGGCAAGCACCGCCGTCGCGTAGCGAGAAAAGGCGGGACAATAAAAACAAACAAGACCGTGAAAGAAATCCTCCCGCGTGACCGACCTTCCTCTGGCTAAAATGCATGCATACATACGTCAGGCATATCGCCGAAAGACCTGTGAACGGGTGCCAGAATAACCAGATGGGAAGAACACACACCCTATACAGGTATCATTGAAGAACGGTTTGGTTACTTGTGGTGCGGGGGATTTTGATCCTTCTTGTGAAACACTTTTAGAGGAGACATCACACGTGCATACAAAAACAAAACACAATTACTCCGGGGTAGCAGCATAACGACTGCTGTATGCGCAACTTGGGCTTGAGAGCATGTTATTATAGCACAGATCAGACGGGTATGTTACCACAGCAGTCGATCTGGATGGATGCTAATGTAGGAAATGTGCTTGTTGTATGTAGAGTGGTCGGCCCGGTCAAGACAGACACGGAGTCCACTTTTTAGTTCTGATATTTATGTGAAGGAGAGTACCCTCGTTCAAGCTTCAGGACCAAATGTGGCAGGCTGTACGCGCGTGTGCGTGTGGTGGGCGAGAAATCGTGCTGTTTCTATCTTGGTACGAGCGCCATGGCCGTTATTTAGTGGCCGTTGAAGTACAGAGGTGGAGTCTGCACCAGACGCCAGGAGCCAGGACACGACGAGAACTCTTGCTTGTTGCAGGTTACAACAGAAAAGCACAGCTTTGTGGAAATTTTAGCTTCTGCGGCGTCCGGCCGGGCTTCCTTTCCCCTCCGCCCGGCCTCATTCATGCTAGAATTAGATACCCCAACGCCTTCGGGTACGCATCCGTTGTAGGCAACAAAACCGCAGTCCAGAACAAATGGGACGACCGATCAATCAAAAACAGAGGGTGAACTGCGGTCGGTCGTACGTTGTTGCTGTTGAATATTCATGGCAGACGGAGGTTTCACTTGTTCACAGACTTGCAGAGGAGTTTTTTTTTTTTGCTCTTTGGCGGGAAAATGCAGGGGGAGGAGGATCATCCCTCCCCAATACAAATACGCCATTGATAACGGAGAGTAAAAAAAACAGACAACTTTATCACTATTCCCGCCGCCAGCAACAACAACGGCGGGGTCGCTCAAGTATTCTGTAATACGCTCCACCACGTCCTGTGAGAGGACTACTGCTGCTGTCCCCCCAAACACCTGCTACAGCAGTACGCGCGAGGAGAGACTTTCCCTCTGAAGAAGCGTGCGAGCACACAAGCTAGATGCAACCACACCAGCACCCGACCCCAAGCCCGCTTGGTTCGGGCAAGCACCAGCAGAAGCAGACAGCAGCAGACACAACAACACCCCGGGGTAACTTTTAACTTTTTAACTATACGTCGGTTGTCAAGGGTAGCAGTTTTTTCGACGTGTCCGGTCAAAAGTTTCGCTGCTGGGCTCGGCGTGTGTGGGGACCATCATCATCGCACTGCCTACTACAAAAGGAGAGTGGAGAGCACAGCCGATGTGAACGCTCGGCGTTGGCTTTGAGCACTGCTATAGACACCAACTTCCTCCTCAAGAGCAGCATCGTAGGATTCCTGGCAGCGAGCATTCTCATCCGGGGATTAGACAAACGACAGGACGGGAAAAGGCCAGTCTAAAACGAAGTGAATTTTGAAGTGTGGTATTGTAAACAATGGTGAGCCGGGGGAGCCAAAAAAACGGCTGCGTCTTGGAGGGCTACTGCGGCGTTGCCGTCATATTCAACACCCTGGGGCGTCGCGCGGGCTGGACTCTTGTACCCCGGTGTGTGGTGGTTTGTTGTCTCAGGCCTCTTGGGATTGGGGATGGACCAGCTGCAGCAGCAGCAGCCGGCGTGTGGGGCAGTCATGCACATGAGAGAGTTGATCCATCGGGCGTATTTTTCTTCCCGGCAAACACATAGGACACTCGCAATCGCTTTCTCGAACTGTCGCCACAAGGAACGCACCCACCCGTTGGGATAATCATACCACCCACCGGAGGCGCCCTCGGCTCAGGGCTACGCCGCTCGCCGGGGTGTTTCGCGAGAGGAATGGGAGAGTCACACCATAGCAGGAGAGAGCAGACCAAATGCAGCACACACGTCCGCTTTCGCACCTTGTCTTGGTCTTGAAAAACACAACAAGCTTGTTGGCGGTCGAGTTGACGCCGCCCTGCCCTTGCCGCCGGACGCGAGCGCCGCTGCCGTCCCGCCATGGCATCTGTGTGCGCGTGTCCCCCTCTCCTCGGCACCAACCAAGCGGTAGAGGGCCTGGCGGTCCCTTCTAACAAACAGCACGGAGAGGGGCTGAGGTGATGGTGATGCAGCAATATGGCTTCGTTGTAAATATCTCCTCGATAGGGCCAGCCACAGAGATCTACCAGATCTACGATCTTCACAAGACAGATTGTTCTTTTATTTTTTCAAAACAACGATATTTCTACTTTTTCAGTTGGAGCAGAGAGTCGCAGTTGTTTGCATGGCAGTAGCAGCAGCTTGAGAGGCGGACGCTTGTAGTGGAGCTGGGGCATGTAGCGTCGGGGGCGGGAGCAGTCGCCAGGTTCTGAGACAACGAGAGCACACGCGTCTCCGTGAAAGCTTGGACAGGAGATATGGTTCTGAACCCACTCTCCGCTGCACGCTGGATACCAAATAAAATACAAAAATTAATGTTCTCGTTGTGGTATGTGGTCGATGGTGAAGATTTTTCCGATGAAAAAACTGCGGCAAAAAAAACCTGCAGCATGATGATCGAGGTCAACAAGGCGAAGGGGTGGGTAGAGGGCCTAAGGGAGAGAAACCCTTCTGTGTGACGACGAGTTGGAGTAAACGGCACAAGTGCTGTGAGCACTGATTCGGAGTAAAGCCAAGAAAAGTTCCCATAATATTCGAAGTAATGACTACTGATGCGTATCGCGGTCCCCATGTGCACAGCGCTCTGTAGGAACTGCTGTAGGAATAGTCTATGTATCATACAAGTGCAACGAAAACCCCACAGGTGGATGTTTGATTGTCGATGATTGTCGATAAACCAGAGCCAGCCTCGCCTTTGTCTTCAGTTTCCACATCTGCTGAGAGAATCCGAGTGCAAGCAATATCACGCCATATTGCAATGACTCAACATGGTCTCTCTCTCCAGCTCGTTTCTCGAACAGATCAAAGGAACGCGGACCAACCAACTTGGATCAACGACCATATAGACAAATTTCCACACCGATTTCTTGCAGATTTCCCAAGGTCCCAAAAACACATACAGTGGAGGTCCCTGTTTAGTGCCGGGGTGTGAGCAAAAAATTGACCGGCACTATACCGGGCACCGTCACTATGTAAAGTACAGAACGACTTGATATTCCAGTGTGCGCGAGCCGAAAACACCGGCACTATATGTTGTATATGTCCGCGACTTGGAAGGGAGAGACTGAATATCGCTTGTATTAGAAACGCAGAAGCAAGAGAAGAGAAGAAGAAGAGTGCTTCCGGAAAACAGAGAAGCAGGGGTCACAAACACAAGAACCCCAAAATGGTATGTCTACGTTCCTATCTGCGAATATATCCGTTACTGCGGTCGATCAATACCTGTCCGTATCCAAACACACGAACACCCTCCCTGGTTTTTCACGCAAGTGGCAAACCATCCGTGGGGCATGGTTACCCCTGATCAGACCTAGGGACTCTAAACAGTAACGGTGCAAGGGAAAACCCGGCCATCCGGATCAAAAACCCTCGCCTACCCTCAACATATATAACCATCGCTATCACGGAGGATTCCAACGGCCGCACTTCCAAGACAAGATCAAGGCAGGACAAATTGTACCGGGCACGGGGATTACGCATCTCTCGGTAGCGCTACGGGCGCTTCTAGGCTCCAACCTCGAGTGACGTGCCGGTAAATCCTTCCTGCGTGACGTACCATGATCATAAAGTCCAGTGCTAAACAAAAAAACAAAACAAAATAGACCACTACCCCGGGATGTTCATCAAAGCATTCCGGTGGTCTTCTAGTTTGGTCCTACCAAGAGCCTTGGTGAGAAGGTCGGCGTGCTGCTCGTCAGTCGGGATGTACTCGACGGAGATTCTGCCCGACTTGAACAGCTCTCGAATGAAATGGAACCGCACGTCGATGTGCTTGCTCCTCGCCGAGCTAAAGGGGTTCTGCACCAACGATATCGCCCCCTGGTTGTCCTCAAGGACCTTGATCTTCGCCCCACTCGTCTCAGGCGCTATGAAAGACAGCACCGCACGCACAAACAAGGCTTCTTTCACGCCTTCCCCGGCTGCAATGTACTCAGCCTCCGAGGTCGACAGAGACACGATACGCTGCGTCTTGCTAGCGTGGCTGACCACGGTACCACCAACAGTTACGGCTATTCCCGTCACCGAACGCCTGCCGGTGTCCCTGTCGGCGTAGCTGGCATCAACATACACCTCTAGGTCTAGCCCCGAACCCCGAACGTAGGTGATGCCGAGGTCCATCGTGGCGTTGAGATAGCTCAGGATCTGCACGAGCGCCTTCCAGTCTCGCATGGTGGGCGCATGAGCGTTCCGTTGCACTGCGTTCAGAGCGGTGGCGATGTCCGGCCTCGTAAATGTCGCAGGCCACATCAGACATCCGATCGCCTGCCTCACTGGCTTATCCACCCCGGGCTCGTCATCTCTCTTCGGCCCTAGTTCGGCATTGGGGTCAGCGGGGGTGGATGCGGTCGTCGTGATCCCAAAACGGTCCATCAGTCCTGCAATGTACGCTTTCTGGGACAGTGTGGTCGTTCCCAACTCCAAATCCCTTTCAATCGCACATCCATCGTACCAGGTGCACTCCCCCAAATCCTTCACAGGAAGTGTCTTACGCAGGGAAGTGAGCAACTCCTCGCCCTCTTCTTCCGACCCTACGTACATGATGTCGTCCACGTAGATCACGATGATGCTCACTACCTTCCCATCCACGATCTTACGGAACACACACGGGTCAGCCCTGCACTGCTCGTACCCGCTATCCACCAGGATATTAGCAGCCTCAAAACCCCACTCACGCCCACTCTGCTTCAGACCATACAGTGCCCGTTCTACCTTGAGCACCTTTCCAGCCATGGCACCACTACCATCGGCAATCCGCACATAGAGTTCTTCCTGGATCTTTGCGTGCGTGTACGCCTGCTTAATGTCGAAATGGCGTGTGGGTAGGCCGCCCTCTGTGGCAAAGGCCATCGCGAGCTTAATCGATGAAACGGCTGGGCACGCTGATGAAGAGTGGTGGTAGTCCTGTCCGTGGACTTGGGAAAAACCACGAGCAACCAGACGGGCCTTGAAGTCGGTAATCAACCCCTTCTCATCAGTCTTGTAATCGAACACCCACTTCGTACTGACTGCCTTCCGACCTTCAGGGAGCTTCTCGATTTTAGAGAACGTCCCTGTTTTCTCATGCCCGTCCATCTCCTTCTTGATTGCCTCGTCCCACTGCTTCCTGTACTTAGACCATTTCACGTCCTCGTACGTCAACGGCAGAGCCTCTACATCGTTAGGTTTCTGCCCGATTGGCGAGGGGATACTTAGCTCAGGGTTGCTGCAGTCGATGTTGAAAGGACGTTCCACCGGCACGTCCGACTGCAGCATCATCTCTTCAATTTCAGCCTGTAGGGCCATTTCCTCCATCTGGCGCTCCTCCACCAACGACCGTTGGAGATACTCAGCGACGAGCTCCTTGCCTCCCTCCACCTCCAGGACTGTTGACAGCAAGGCCTCCTCGGCGGCCTCCTCGGCGGCACCCTCGGCGGTCCTCTCGGCCTCCGCTAGCTCCCGTGTCTGCTTCCGGGTGCGACCGCGCTGCAGCCCGTAGCGCAGTGGGCCCTCCTTCGAGGCGCCCCAGAGAAGTTTCTTTCCCTGCGTCCCGGGGGGGTAGCGGGTATCGGCGGGGTCGTATTTGTACTCGCCGTCGTCGCTGCCGCCGCTATCCTCGCCGTCGACGTCGGAGCCCCCAGCTCCCCCGGCCTCTCCGCCGGAGTCTTCGGGTTCACCGCCGCCGCCGCTGGTGTCGCTGTTGCTGCTGCTGCTGCTGCTGCTGCTAATGCTGCTGTTACTGCTGCTGCTGCTGTCGCTGCTGCTGCTGCTGCTGGTGGGGATGCCATCGCCGCCACCAAAATCGCCCCCTCCCAAATGGGGCGACGGGGGAGCACTACCTTCGTCCCCCTGGATCCCGTTGCCGGGTACCGCCGGCGCATTCTCGCGCGCCGGCAGTGTCGCACGCCCCGGCCCACGGATCTCCGTCATGTCGAGGTCGGACTCACTCGCCAAGTCCTCTTCCCCCCCTCCACCTCGACTCGACGTGTCCTCACTGCCCTCGCCCTCCCCTCCCTCCCCAATATCCGCGAGGGGCAGTTGCGGGGGAACGGGCGAAACAGCGGGTACGTGGCGCCAAGTGAAGTTGCGGGTGGTGACTACGGTTCCAGCTTCGGATAGCATGCGGACGCAATCACGGGGGTGGGGTTGTGGGCCGGTCCGGGGTACCATCCTTTTCGGCCCTTGGGGTGCGATTTTCTCTCTCTTCGTGCCTTGTACACCGCCGGTTTGAGGAACGGGTACACCGACCCGGCCGGGGGCGGTTTCCCGTGGAACATCTCATACGGAGATTTGTCCCCGGGGTTGGCGGTGGTGGCGGTGCAGTTCAGTTGATGGCATGCACATGCGATCGCCTCAGCCCACAAGGCCGGGTCAGTTGGCGCGTCAGGGAACATCTCCTTAGCTTGAATGCGTGACGCTAGTGCGGCATCACTAATGATGCCTAGCCATCTTTCCGCAACACCGTTGTACTTGGGGGTGTGCGGGGGGGTCTTCTCTTGCTTGATACCCCACTTCCGGCAAGTCTTCGAAAACTGCCCCTGGAATTCGTTGTCTGAACGCACAACGTACACCTCACACGGAGTACCCTCCGACCGGTAATCCGCGATAAATTGCTCGAGTGCGTCGGCTGCTTCAGACTTGCGTTTCAGAAAAAACACGCGCGTCCAACGGGTGGCATCGCATCTGATGATGAGGGTGTACCATCTGCCCCCGATGCTATGGAACTGCATCCGCCCCCCCAGGTCGATAAAAACTCGAAACAGTTTCTTAACTGCGCGTGTGTCCGTGAATCTCTGAACGGCTTTCACCTGCCCCTTAGCCATAGAGCAGCCGGTGCAGCTCAGGAGCGGCCCTCCCGTCAGCTCCACTCCCTGCTGCTTCGCCGTGAGCCTCAGCAACCTCTCGTGAGCGTGGCCGTGCGAGTTGTGGAATTCGTTGAGGTCAGTGGGGGTGGCGGCTTTCGCTTCGCCAGGAACAATAATAGCGGCACAGGCGGTGTCTACCTCGGGCTCGGTTTGATAGCCCCACAGAGAGAGCAATTTTCCGAGTTGGGGGAACCACACTTCCTTCCCTGCTTTCGTGGTTAGCACTAGCCCCCCCGGTTTTCCAGCGTACGTGTGGCCTTCCTCGGTCAACGAAGTGAGCGAGATAAGGTTCAAGTCCATTCCTGGCACATGGNAGATCAACGGTACGACCACACTCGCCTGGCTGGGTTGCCTCCGCCATGTAGGCCTGGTTCTCGACGGAATCAACATCGCTCACCACCTCGGCAAGCACCGCCGCCTCCGTAGGACACTTCTCCTTCTTGTGGCCCCACCCTAGGCAGTGCTCACATTGCGGGTTGTAGTCGCTCTCCTTGGTCTCGCATTGGAACGACTTGTGCCCCTTGAGACCGCACGTGAAGCACCGGAAAGGAATCTCGCTTTTCCCACCGCCGCGACCGCCGGCCCCTGTTCCCCCACTACTGTCCGACTTGCTCTCCTTCGTTCCACCATCCCCTCCGCCTTTGCTGCTACCGCCCCGGCCGTTGCCGCGTCCGCCGCTGCTGCCGCGGCCACCACCACGACCCTGGCCCCAGCCTCGGCCAGATGACCGCGTGCCGAGGCCACCGTTGACGAGGTAGGCCTGCACANGCAGGTTGTGCTTGGTCATGGCAAACTCGTTCGGAAGCGCACCAACGAAGTGGTTCAAAACGAAAGTTTCGTTAGCAACGATGCCTTTCGTGTTAAGGCGTTCGGCAGTCGTCAGCATATCACGGAGGGTGTGCACGGGGTGTCGATCATCGGGGATTCTCTTGACCAATAACTTCTGCATGTCATCTGCATTCTGCATGGTTGTGATCGGGTCATACATCTCTTGCAATTCCCGAAGCGCCCCCAGAGGCGACTGTGCCCTCCTGATCGTCTTCTTGTCTTCGTCTGTCGTGAGTGCATGGCTCAAAAAAGTTCCACGCGTGAAAAGCCAGTTCTG